TGTAATCTATTAATTGCCATTTATGGTAGCAGCTATCAGCCGCGCTATCCCTTCCACTGACGTTCTCTCCTCCTATTTGAGCTTTTCGTGTAGATCTCGGCGGATAGTTCTGCTCAGTGCATTTAATCCCTTCTTCGTCTCTCTCCGAGCATTTATGCTCCTGAGTATGACGATTCCCAGGAGGCGGCATATGGCGTCGTTGTTTCGAACAACCATGGTCAAGTGTGTGATGGTAAAGCTGAAACTATGCATTCTTTTTCCCAAATTGAAGCAGAAGCTTTGGCCCTTCTGGAGGGCTCTCGGTTAGCTGCCTCCCTCAGATTTCCCTGCCTAGTGAGATCTGACTGCCTGCACCTGGTTCATGCATTTCATAGCCATCCCAAGACATGGCCATGGCGAGCGGCAGCAAGGCTGGGCATCATCAAACAAACTTTGGAAGATAATCCGCTGATCATGATCCAGCACATTGGTAGAAGGAACAATTCCAAAGCTAATTGGGTTGCTAGATCATGTGCTAAAAACCAATTGCCCTCACAATGGCTACAAATTCTTAATGTGGTTGCTCCCCTTTTGTAATGTTTGGCTTTTGCTACAATTAATGGAAATTCAATGTCCTTTGTCAAAAAAAAAAAAGTGCTTTGGCATATATCTCCCATTGTCAGGATAGTTTTCTAAAAATAAGAAAAAAAAGGTGAAAATTGAGTCGATAGCACATTATGTCAATCTTCATTTCTGATCACTTGGACCACCTTTTGAATGTTCGCATATAAATCATAGTACTCTAAATCTTTGATTTAAGTAAGACTGTACTCTAATTTTTTTGCATAATATAAAATTAATCTATGCATAAGATAGTTCCTCGTATCCAGAACACCTGCATTTGTTGGTCGTATTAGTATAGCTGTTGTGCATAATGGACAACATGTGAATGTGATAACTACAAGGGATCGACTACGTAGCCAGTAGACTAGTAGTGACAGTATAGGAGCTCGACCGATTCATGAAAGGAGAGTTCGATTATATATATAGTTTACAAAAAGAAACACAAATTGAAACAAAGTTGTTAATTTGGTTAAAGCCTATGATCAGGAGGACGGCCGAGATGCCGTTTTGTTTGTTTTAGAGGTATGTCCTTTGCTTTAAACAGAGGAAATGCTGCCCCCCGCACTACCATGCAAAAGTGTGCCCATAACTGAAAACCGCACATTGACAACAAGGACAATGATCCCTCATGCGCACCACCGTAGGCCGGCCGCATCATCATCATTATCAACGTCGTATTTATATGATTTTTTTCAATTGCACGATTCTGTTAACCAAACCAAACCAAAACCAAACTCGAAGTCCATCTCTAGTTGACGAGAGAGATGGCCGGTCACTCTTATATATATACGACAGTTAATCAAGGGATGTAAGCAGCAGCGGATCCAGGACAGGGTAGAATACTGGGCTACCTTTGAAAAAAGACGGAGAAAGCTAGACCGTAACGTGAAAAACACTTAAACGAATACCAAAAATCGGAAATTACAAGTGCTATACTAACTCGAGATCTAGAGGAGGGCTGGCCCGTGGCCTAGGGGCAGCCCCGGAATCCGCCGCTGGATGTAAGTTAGAGATTAAGATACTTGTATCACGTACATATGAGCTAGAACCCTTTTGTCCCTGAGATTATCAGTAGATGAATGTTCGTAAACATTAAAAAGTAGTCAGTGAGGCAATAGATTCAAAAGCTCAAGTTAGTTGGACATGGAGAGAGGAAATTGCGTTAGACATTTCCCCTAATGATAAGCTGCTAGGCTCAGTGGCAGACTCAGGATTGTTGAAGAGGGATGTCGCCTAATGAATTAGTATCGGCTATAATTATTAAAGCGGTGTCGAAAATCTCGTATTAAAATTTTTTGTAAAAAAAAAATAGGTTCTTCACAAAATTTTTGGGTTAAGGACGACAGCCCTTAGCAATACATAGGTCCGCCCTGACTGGTCTCCCTCCGAATTGCACGGCCGGAAAAGTAGGGCTGGCTATTTGGTCCGGGACTGTTTGGTTTTACCCGAAACCGGACGTATAACCCGGACCGGGACCGGACTGGGATCGGATAGCAAACAATCCAATCTCATATTCGGGCTTAGATTTGAGGTAAAAAACCGGATAAGAGACCCTCAACACCTAAAATCAAGATCAAATCAAGACCAGATTGTATCCAATCCAATCTTTGGTCCTTATATTCCCGAAAAAACCGGACTGGGACCGGATCAATTTGGTCCAATTTAACCGGACCGGACCGTATAGCCACCCCTACGGAAAAGGCAACCTCTCCACTAGGGCACTGACGGGAATGGATCAGGTGAGTAACCTTATGGTGAGTAACCATGAGTAACCCGTCCACATCAGCATGACATCAGCATCCTCTCTCTCATTGAAAGCCATTAATTTTTCCCTCTTTAATCTTTTACGGACGATTTCTCGCTCATTTTAAGTCGAAATTTAATTTTTTTTGCACAGTTAGATCAGATTAATTGTGCTCTTCAAAATGATATCCACTTTAATATATTTTTCGAACAAAAAAAATTGAGCCATTTTTTATCAGCCTATACCATATGGTATTGACTGGTATTGAAATAAAAGCATACCTATATTTTGAAAAACGTACCATGGTGGTATGAACAAACCAATACTGTAGGATGGTTGAATACATGATAGTAGAAGTATATTAATTGTAATTTACGATTTTTAACATTGTATACCACACAATACCACCCCGTACCAGGGTGGTATTGTATGGTATTGTGTGGTATTTTTTGGTCCTGTAATTTGTTCACCCAGAAATTTGTAGATCCAGTAGATCATGATGAACTCATCCCTGCTGTGCAAACGTTTTCAAAAACGAATTAAAAACGAAGAAGATACCATATGGTATGCAGTTGGTACCGAGAGGCCAGAATTTTTTTTCCTAAAAAAATATTGAAAATTGATCTCATTTTGTAGAGCACGGTGAACTCGTTCCATCTGTGCAAAAAAAATTAAAATCCGAGTTAAAACGAAAAAGATATGAGTCAATTAAGAAAGCTAGTGAAAATAAAAATAGTCTTTAATTCTCCATCCTTAGATCTGGATTTTCTAAATGAAGGGTCCAGATTTGGTTATTGATGGGTGCATAACCCATGGTTATGGGTTATGCACCCTATCTTGAGCCGGCACTGACAGGTGCGATATGGTATCCTGAAACTCGCTGCTGGGTCGCCACGTAACCCCGTACTGGAACTGGAAAATGTACGCTTGCTCTTCTTTTTTCTCCAATGGAAAGCAAATGGGGTCAGGCCACCTAATGAACCTTCCAAGTTTGTACCAGTACCACACATGATGACGACAAATAATAGGGTACGAGGTCTTGTAGGCACTCTATGAGAACATAAGACCGTTGTTTCCCGGCCACGTGTCCCTAGGAATGGAGATGGAAAATTATGATCCCATCAACTTTCTTTCCTCTAAAACCGCAACTTCAGCGGTGGCCTTGGCACAACTGAACAACCCTAGCTATTAGCTATCGAGTATCGAGATGGCAATTTAAACGCGTTCGGTTACTTATTGTCCGACCTGATATATATTGTAACAGATATTATCCGATCAATAGTAGCGTGGAACGATACATGTGTTACTTTTTTTTATCAATTTCGTCTTATTTTATTTTATTTTTCATCCGATTATCTCAATTTTGTACAATATCTATTTGTATTTCTCTTATTTCAATCATAATTTCACCTATTGAAATTTTAAATAGGTGCAAGATTTGAAGTGTTTTCTTTTGAAGTATTTACTATTCAATCATTATTTTTCATTAATAAAGTATTTTCTTTTATTTTGTGGCAAAAGAGTGACTTTTGAAATTATAACCCTACTGCTTACCAGAATACTTACATCAGTACATGATTGAAAAGTTTCAATTGGTCGTACGTTTCTGTTTTCTAGTTCTTTTTTCCGAGTGCTTGTTTCACTTATCACTATAAAAAAAATCACTATCAGTTACCACTTACCACCCATTTACCAGGAGAGCTTTGGACTGTTCCTAATAAAATGAACAATGGTAGTTGGTTTGCAGGTGTTGATGAGACGCAATCTCCTTTCTATTGATTTATTTTATAGGTTTATGGTATTAAATCAATCGAATTTCCTTATAGTCAATGACAGCCCCAAAATTACTAAGGCTGAGGTGATGTTTAATGAGAAAATCTTCAATGGGGCGGGTGTACCAGCATGAATTAATTACGTGGTGCACTGAAATTGGAGCCCAGTGGTTAACTCTGAAATGCTCTGTGCTAACTCCTCTGTGATGGCGACTGTAACATCGACAACTACGCCGACGGGACGACCCCCGGACATGGACCAGCCTTTCGCCACTGCGGAAACTGAAGCACGGGGCATAGTTTCACCTTCGGACATAGTTACAGAGATGATGGTGGATAATGGTCAGGCGGAAGAGGCTCTCTCGGGCAGTAAAGTGCCTGCGGATTCCGACGGAGCTACCACCAGATCAGGGAACTCTTCACTATTGAATCCGATGGGTATTCTCGGCGGGAAGGCTTTGGGATCTTATGCGAAAGCCGTGACGGGGGAAAGCGATGTTCCAAGGCCTCTGACAGCTCAATGGATTCCTGTGGGGGAGAGAGACCCGATTCCAGGTTCCTTCAACTGGGAACCAGAGCTCCAATTATCGGAGAATTTCATGAACAAGCTAAGTGCGTCGTGGCAACGGACACTGGCGGTGCGGCTGCTTGGCCGATCAATTGGCTATGCTTCCCTCTGCAATAGAATTCGATTCCTATGGCGCCCAACAGCGGGATTTGAGGTCTTCGCTTTGGATCAGGATTGCTTCCTGGTGAAGCTTGAAAGCCATTTGGATTATTTTAAAGCTCTTACAGAAGGACCATGGGTGATCTATGATCATTATCTGGTTGTGCAACAGTGGACTCCATCCTTTCGTGTAATAGATAAGCTCCCAAGCACCATGGTTGTCTGGGTTCAGTTCTCGGGCTTCCCTGTCCACTTCTATCACAAAGAACTTCTATTCGCGTTGGGGAACATGATCGGAAGGGCAATCAAACTTGACTTTCACACGGCTAATCAGCAACGAGCAAGGTTTGCTCGTATGGCGGTGGAGGTAGATCTTTCTAAACCTCTGGTTCCCCGGATTCGTTTGGATGGCAAGTGGCAGAAGGTCGAATTCGAGAATCTCCCTGTGGTTTGCTTTGAATGTGGCAAAATTGGGCATACCAAGCTGAATTGCCCGGCTCTCTCCCAAGCTCTCGCCGTCGCTACGCTCTCTGGTACGCCCTCACCGCCGCCGGGCACCGCCGCCGGGCGCCGCCGCCGTGGAGGCATCAGAGGATTCTGCTGGGTTCGGTCCGGGGATGTTGGTATCAAGGAAATCACGCCGCAATTCTCGCGATTCCCCAAAACAAGGTAAGGCGGAGGCAATTTTGGTAAGCCCCAACGGAAATGAAAGGGCCAAATCGGGGAAAGAAGATCGATTGTCTCAAGGATATTAATGGGGAATGGGTCAGCGAGAAGGATGAATTATTAAAAATTGTTTATAACTTTTTCTCTGAGCTGTATTTGCAGGATAATTCACCCTATGTTGACCTTCTCCCCAAAGGATGTCTTCCGCGTCTGAATCAAGAGGATTGGCTCGGTGTTCTCCGGCCTTTCAGCATCCTTGACATCCACAAAGTTGTGTTCGAGATGAACCCGCTTCAAGCTCCGGGACCTGATGGCTTTCAAGCCTTGTTTTACCAGAAAGCTTGGGCGGTGGTGGGGAAAGCGCTCACTGACATGGCTCTTTTCTTTTTTGAGCAGGGGACGTTGCCGGAAGCGGTCACAGAATCCACGGTAGTCCTCATTCCTAAAGTGGATAAACCGGAGTCGGTTACCCAGCTTCGGCCGATCTCTCTCAATAACGTCTGCCTCAAAGCTATCACGAAGGCCCTTACTAGTCCTTTTTAGGAGGTTATGGGGAAGCTGGTTTCTTCGAGGCAAAGCAGCTTCATTCCGGGAAGGCAAACGACCGACAACATCCTTGTGGTGCAAGAAGTGCTGCACTCTTTGCGGAAGAAGCGGGGAAAGAAGGGGGGCATGGTAATGAAGGTGGATCTTTTGAGGGACACCTTGATTGAAGTAGGGCTTCCGAGTTTGTGGATCTGGGGGATCATGTATTGTGTGGAGCACAACAAGACACGGATTCTATGAAACGGGGAGCTCACACCAGTCATCACCCCCTCTCGGGGTGTTCGCCAGGGAGACCCTCTTTCTCCCTACCTTTTCGTTCTCTGCATGGAACGGTTATCTCATAGAATTGACCAGGCCGTCCGGGATAAGCGATGGAAACCTGTTCGCTTATCTCCGAGGGGTCCTGCCTTATCCCATCTATTTTTTGCAGATGATCTAGTGCTCTTTGCAGAGGCGAGGGGGGGGGGGGCCCAGATCAGAGTTATAAGGGATTTCCTGGATGATTTTTGTGCCAGTTTAGGACAACGGGTTAGCTTTGCCAAGTCTGTCTTGTATGTGTCTCCGAACATCAGACAGGACAGAGCTCATCGACTTAGTGACAAGGCAGCCATGCCGCTTGTAACTAACCTCGGGCGGTACCTGGGCATTCAAGCCATCCATGGGCGGGTCATGAAAAGCTGATACCAGTCTTTGATTCTGAAGATCCAAAAGAAGCTGGCTCCCTGGAAAGCCAGGAGATTATCCCTCGCCGTGAGAATTACGGTCACTCGCTCTGTCTCTCTTGCTATTCCCACTTATTCCATGCAATATGAACTGATCCCTAAGAATGTCTGCTCTGCCATAGATAAGATTAATAGGGATTTTATATGGGGAAAGGAGGATGACAAGGGGAAGATGTATCTGGTGTCGTGGGAAAAGATGACTGAACCTAGGCTGCAGGGGGGTGGAGGTCTCCGACCACTCAGGCAGGCTAACCTCGCTCTTCTGGCTAAAGGAGGGTGGCGCATCCTCAAGGAAAAGGAGGCACAGTGGACACAGATCTTTAGTGCTAAGTATGGTAAACAGAGAGATGGCCTCGACATTTTCCATCCTATTCAGGGAAGTTCCTTTGCCTGTAGAAGCTTTACCAAAGCTTCTCACCTTCTCAGAAAAGGTTGTGCGTGGAATATCCAGAATGGTAGGAGCACTAATTTTTGGTGTGATGTGTGGGTTTTGCAGGTTCCATTAAGGGATGTGGCCATTCAGCCCGTCCCGGAAGAGAAACTGGGGTACACTGTCACTAGCTACTTGGATGACAATGGTGATTGGGATGTGAATCGATTCTCGCAGTGGCTGCCCGTTGACGTCCAACAGAAGATCACGGCAGTAGCGGTTGATAGGGTCTCCACAGATCAAGACACCCTTTTCTGGGCTCCTTCCCCGAATGGTCACTTTACCACCATGTCGGCCTTTCAGATTGCTATGCCCGAGCAAGGAAATCAGGAAAAGAAGCTATGGGAGAAGATTTGGAGTAACCCGGTGCCCGAGAGAGTGCAATGTTTTAGCTGGCTAGTAGCACTGAACAGGATTGCTACTAACAGTCTTCTCTTTTCCAGGAAGTGTGCACCGTCGCCTATGTGTCCCCGGTGTAGTAGCTGCCCGAAAACGACGCTACACCTTCTGAGAGATTTTCCGCCGGCTATGTTTGTTTGGAACAGGAGCATTCCCCCAGCCGAGCAGCCTGCCTTCTTCTCAAGCGGCCAGGAGGATTGGCTGAGAAGGAATTTTTTAAATGACAAAGCTATGGCGAATGGAATGTCGTGGAGTGCTTTTTTCAGTATAACCATTTGGTTGTTGTGGAAAAATAGATGCATTATGGCTTTCCAATGAGCTCAAAAGGCCTTGACTGCCCCTTCACTGTTGCACTCTATTCAGCTGAAGTCAGATCTCTGGTATAAGGCGTGGTGTTCTCCTCTCTTGAGACCTGATGTCCGGGGGCTAGGGAGGAGTCGAGTAACAGCTAGCATACACTGGAATGCTCCGCAGCAAGGATGGTTGAAGTTGAACATTGATGGCGCATCGGCAGGTAATCCCGGAATTGCTGGCACAGGTGGGCTGATTCATGATGATCAGGGCCAGTGGATAGCAGGTGACTCACTCCTACTGTCACCCTAGAAAATGGCCAAGTATAACCAATTCCTAAAGCGTAGTATAGCGGGTCGGGTTTTAATGTCAACCCGGGTCCTAGATGTGATGACTACTCGGTGAATTCTTGTTATTTAGCAGTGAACTTTTAGTGAAACTCAAGCAAACAAAACACAGAGCAAGTAAACGGTTTGTTGTCAAGTCAAGAGAGGTCACCCGGATATGGTTTCCCCCTAGACTGCAGTTAAGTCGGATTGCAATTTGCCAAGTTCAGTTTTCATGAAAGTTATACTGCGGAAGGTTCTCAATTAGCCTGAAGTCTCGACTAAAGGTCTCCAGACCCTCTCAATCTGAGTCTCTAGCGGGCGACTAACCTCCACCGGAGTAAACAGATTGAGGCCCTAATGAACCAAACCTCCACTACCGAATTGACTTCGGTACAGAATAGCGAATTGGCCCCTCGACTAAAGTCACCAATTCGCCACCTTCGATTAAGGGTACTCTATCAACCTAGGCAGATATTCTCATTCCAGGTCAAAGCAGAAACAACAGGAATTTGATCAGGATTCAAGTCATTCAATCATTCAAACCTCAATCGAATATAATCAATTCACAAACACTGTACTTGGGTTCATACAATCAGACCTAGCATACAAATCTAGGGTTCTCCATACCCAGATGAATGGGGAAACTACTCCATAGAGAAAGAAGCAAAAGCAGATTCAGACACGGAAATCATACTGTGAAGTTGGATTCCTGCTTCTGGACGTTTAATCGCACTTTTCCAAGCTCAAGACGGGCTCCAATGGTGTTGAAGATCGATCTATGGCGCTTGAGAACTCTGGTTCGACGCTTTCTCTCTCTAGGTATCGATTTCTCTCTCAAAAACTCGGAACCCTTTGAAAATTGGCCTTCTTCCTCTTTTATCAGCTGCCTGGTCGCGATACCCGGTCAAAATACCCGGTCGGGTATTTTATGGTTCGACCGGGTATTGTGAAACGCACTGTTCCACTAAAGGCGAAAATCCCCGGTCTACCACCAAAATCCCCGACCGGGAATTTAAGGCCATCGCCCGGGCCCCCTACTGTTTCTCACGGGTGCCAAAAACGATAAATACCCGGTCGGGTATTTTGCCATCCGACCGGGTATTTTCCTCCTGCAGCCCCCTTAGTCCCAACTCGGCTCCTTTCGACCCAGAACTCGTTTCTCCGCCTCGATTCCAACGCCGGGACCTGAAATATGACACAAACACACAACCTGGCGTAAAATCGGCTTAAAACATGAGATTCCTCAGCACAAACGGCTCCAGAATAGGGGTGAAAATATGTATAATTATCGGTCTATCAAACTCCCCCACACTTAACCGTTTGCTTGTCCCCAAGCAAACCAAGTCAGACACTAGGTAAGCTTACAAATCAATCAACCAACACTGGGGACAAGTCATAAAGGCACAAAACACGTGAATCGCACTGGTTTTCAAACATCAATACATGCACAACCTCAATAACAACCTGGACAACCACCACAAAGGACATTCGAGTGCAGCAAATCGAGTAAAGGAAGAGTCTCCCGTCTGTTCACTAGCCAACCTAGACTTGATTCAACCACTTACTCAAAACAGTCGACTCATGCATCCAACTCAAAACATCAGAATAGAGACCGAGCAATCTAGGTCCTCACCGGGGTACAAGAGCATATAGAAAATGGAAATGAATCACTCACTCTCGACCAGTGGGGTCAGGACAATTTTTGATGCGAAAGATGCGCATGCTATTTCTCTCAATCCCTATCATCTCTTCACCATGATGGCAGCCTCTAAATGCTAGAGTTCACATATGGGGTGTCACCACTAACTAATCAGGAGGTCTTAGACACAGGTTCAAATGACTGGCTAGGGTCTTGGACATGGGGAAAAGGCCTTTTAGGTGGTGGAAGTATTCATAGCAAAAAGGTTCCACATTTTCCAAACACACAATCACAGTCAACCAACCCGGTATTTTCTTTCTGCTATTCTGCATTCCTCAATATCTTAAGAGCACAAGAGCGAAGGAGGCATAATCATCAGCATTTCCAAGCCAGACTGCTAAGAAACACTGCTTACTGGGCATTACTCAGATTTTTGGTAGTGACTCTCTTTTGCTTTCAATTTTTCTTTGTTTTTCTTTCATTTTTCTTTTCATTTCTTAAGAGAGCCCCCACTTCTGCATAAATTTCAAACACCTGCCCAATTTTTAAGCACTACCTCCAACACTCACATAGACTTTAGCAGAAACAGCAGAGAATATATAAAACCACTCTGTGGAACCTTCTAAAAGATGCAACAAGGGTGATTTTTTC